ATTTTGACCAAAGTGCTACAACTCCCTTTCATCTCAACATAAAATGATTTTCCTTCAACAGCTAAGACGAGGGACATTGGGCCTCATGCAAGAACAAGTTCGTATTTTTATCCTAAATTTCTCTTACTTTTGTTCGTAAAAAAGGGTTTGTACGAACATGTCACGTCAGATTCGACAAACACTTCTATCTTCAGGAAACGTGCGTAAATGAGCTGCGTAATTTCCACCTGTTCTATGTGTAAAACCCAGATTTAGAACCAGTTTGAGGGAACGGTGTACTTTAATTCAAGGAATAAGACTGTGGAATGAGTTGAAGAGTGATGTTAAAAGTGCAGGATCATTGTGTACATTTAAGAAAATGATAAAGGTTCGATTGTTAAAAAAAAAATGAAACCGTATAAAATGCACTTACAGTATATTAATTGTTATTCTAGATCAGTGGTTCCCAAACTTTTTATCCTTCTGACCCATAAAATATCCATGGCAAAAACTTGTGACCCCAAATATTACTGATCTGAGTACATAAACTTCATTAATAACCCTAAAAACACAGGCTTTTGACAATCTAAACAGCTTATACACAAATGTAAATACTTATTTTTACTTACTTTGTGTTTTTGTAATAATTTTAGGGAAAATATTACATCAGCAATTATTTTATTACCCTTTAAATTGATTTCTGGAGATTATCCAAGGTGCTTCATGACCCATAATTGGGTCCCAAGCCCAACTTTGGGAACCAAAGGGATTAGATGTTCTTGTCTTTTGTTTTGTTAATGATATAGATTTTTTGTTGTATGAACGTATTCTTGGGAGAAAAGGAGCAGATATAAGATTTTTTCTTCTCTCTGCTACCTTTCATTTCATTTGTGATTTTGATACACATATATTGTTTTTCCAATTTTTCTTTTTATATATATTTTCTTTTTATTGTAAATACATTTTTTGTTTTGTTTTAATGAAATGAATAAATGAATGAAATGAAATTTAATGGAGCATTGGTTTGTGGTGAACACAGAAGTAACATTACTATTAATATACTATTATAATGACAGAAAAAGCTTAAATGATCTCTTTAAATTACTTCTGATTTCCTTTTTAGCTTTATTAAATAAAACAAAAATACCTCTCAAACAGGTTTTTTTAAAAAGCTAATTCTTTCCTCCCACAATAATCTGGTGCCTATGTTTACCTTAAAAGGTCAAACTCTGCTTTTATCTTTAAGTTTTGTCTCATCATGAGAGTAAACTGAACATCTTTAGGGTCTAATTTTAAGGTCAAATTTAAAGCTGTGATACCAAACAACAGAGGCAGAGCCAAGGGGTGGCCATGGTCATAATCTATGGCCACCCCCAACTACCGCTTTGCCAGTAACATATGTTTTTCAACTGTATTGTTCAAACAGGTAATTCTTGTGGTGTACAGCGGGTAAAATAAGTATTGAACGTGTCACCATTTTTCTCAGTAAATATATTACTAGAGGTGCTAATGACATGAAATTTTCACCAGATGTTGGTAACAACCCAAGTGATCCATACATAC